GAGTGCATCGTCCACTACGGCAGCGCCTGCCTCAGTCCGTCCAAACGGCTGCCTCTGATGTACATCTTTGAGAAAAGACCACTGGATGTGGAGAAGTGTGCCTCCTCCTTCAGAGAACTCTATCCTGACACGCAGAGTCGCATCGTCGTCCTCTATGACGTCAACTACAGTCATGCTGTTAGTAAGTGATCCAATAAATAACTGTCCTCCACCAGTTTGTGTTTGTTTAGTTAGTTGTCTTTCCAGTCTGTGTTTAATGTTTCACAAATTTAGGCATCTTCAAGAAAAATATTAACTGAATACACCGTTTTTTTCCCCAGACGATCTTCTGTCCCTCCTGTCACCAGAGTATTCAAACCTCGTCGTCTCAGAACTTGTGGTTGAAGGGGAGCAGTGCTACAGCCACGGCCGGGTTAAAGGACAAACTAATGACTCCTGTCTCTCTGAGCAAGACAACAACGAGGTTATTTATCAGTTTGGAAGGCGGTTCTCCTTGGAAAGTGGCTCCAGTATAACCGATTACAGCATGTTCTACGTCGGTCACGAGGGAGCGACGCTGAGAAACTTCATGATGACTTGGAATCGCTGCTCGTTTGGCTCTTTCGACCCTGTGACGACGAAGGGCAGGATCGAGTCAGTAAGCATCAACCGCGCACTGATGAAGAGATACTACGCTATAGAAAGGGCCAAAGATGCCAACGTGGTGGGCATCCTGGTCGGCACGCTGGGGGTGGCCGACTACCTCAGCATCATCCAGCAGCTGAAGGAAACCATCCGCAGTGCCGGCAAGAAGAGCTACATGTTCGCCATGGGGAAACTGAACGTACCCAAGCTGGCAAACTTCCTGGAAATTGACATCTTTGTGTTAATAGCATGCCCCGAGAACTCGCTTTTGGACTCCAGCGAGTTCTATAAACCCGTAGTGACGCCGTTTGAGATGGAGGTGGCCTGCAACAGGAACAGGGAGTGGTCCGAGGAGTACGTCACAGACTTTCGACATCTCCTGCCAGGTTTGACTGGGATTTATTCACCTCAGAAACTCCTAAATTTAGAACTTTCTCACATTAAAGGGATGCATGAACAATTTTAGGAGAAAGGGTTGTGTAATGTTATTTTCATTTTTACTACAATAGGGGAAGTCTGGCTTTTCTGGAGGGGAAGCTACAAATGGTCTTAAATCTTTTTGGATAAAACACCAAATACATGTGAACATAATAGATCTGACACGGTGATTAACCCGATTCAGGACTTTCACATTGCCATACGTCCATTAGACCCCAAGAAAGAATATGTGCAAAATATTTGTTGGTGTTCATTATAGACTTTTATACTATGTTAAATACATTTTCTGATAAGTTGACATATTTTTGGTTCCAAATGCATGACAAAAAATCTTAAAAAATAAAAAAACAATACCTGTCACCTAAACCAAATGTCCTGGGGTCCAAAAGACCCCAAAAGTCCTGAATAGGCTTCTACAAAAACATAAAATTTGACATATAAAATTAAATTAGAGCCTTTTATGTTGGGTTTTTTTGTTTTTGTTTGTTTTTTTTCCCCAAAAATGAAGGGGCAGGAATATTATTCATACTATTATGTTTGCCATTCATTTAGAAACTGACATTCTCCTTTTAATACGTGTATCTTCAATTTAACATTAGTTTAATGTAATAATTTTAATCATTATGACCTTCCTGCACTGATGTGTTTCGACACACCATCCTTAACCTCGTTTACTCGTTAAACGTTCACACAGTTCCTACAACTCTGTATTGACTCAACATTTTGCACGTTATCTATATTTTCACCAGTTAATGAAGGTTGTTTGTTGTTCTAGGTGGACAGAGTCACGTGCCTCTGGCTGAGCAGCAGGAGGACGGAGATGAGACGGATGTTTCATTAATCACTGGAGCTCTGCGGAGCCACAATCTGCTCAGCAGCGAGCCCGAGCAGTCGTCCTTCGGCTCCTCTGTGGTCCTGAGGAACCAGACGATGACTGTCGCCAACACAAACTCAGCTGGTAGGAGACAGTCGCAAACTTCTGCTCCATTTACTTAACTTTATTTTATTGTTGAATTATGCACAGTAATTGTTACACATGTGTGGTACATTCTTGCACAAACAGACAGAAGCAGACATGTCTTGTATTACTCTACATGTTTCTGCTTTTTTTCTTCTTCCAGCTTCGTTCCTGGCGGGTCGAAGCTGGCGCGGTTTAGAGCAGAAGCTGGGAGAGACACCTGTGGTGAAGGCAGTAGAGGGCAGGAGAGGCATAGCTATCGCCTACGAAGAGGAGGGAACGTCCTCACGGTGACTCAGCAGCAATCCACGAGGTCTTCAACTGATTATTTATTCACTCACAAATGCACCAAATGCACTAAATGTATGGAACTTGTAATTTCTGGAAGCTGTAAGTAATAAATGTTTTCCACGAAATAAATATAAGAGAGTTGTTATTGCTGCGTTACCTACTTAACCTTTGATTTCAGCGACTACAGCCTGTTAAAATGATATAAAGAACTTTGTGGAAAAGGGATTTATTTTAATACAAATAATAAATAAAGAAGGAAAAATCTGGGTTTTCGCAGGCGGTGCCTGACCAGTTCTTAGCTTTGGCCACTGAGCAGTATGACAGGGATCACTCACTGATGTTCAGATAAATTACTTCTTTCACAAAGGATGCTGGAAATATACCAGTGTTCCCATTACAATGCCCTTCCATCCAATCCTGGTTAACTGAAGAGAGAGAAGAAAATAGGAATTAGAATATGTGTCATGATCAAGCTGCAGTGTCACCAAAAGAGTCTCACCTCTAGAGAGCAGTGTGATCTCGTCCCCTTCGTTAAAACTGAGATCCTCTGGGTTTGACGACTCGTACGTGTGAAGTGCCAGCAAGACAATCTCCTTCTGCAGCGTTCCATCAGTTTGCTGCCACCACAAAACACACACACAGTCATTTTCAGCAACTTTGACAACTTACAGCATCTCCTGCATGTTGTTGTTGTTACAGGTTTCATTCAGTCAGTGACCTACCTGCTCTACCATCGAGTGGATGTTAATGAAAAGAACAAATATTTTGAGCTAAAGGTGTTCACAGGTACTTGTAGTACCCAATGCAGGGCACAAGACACAAGTCTAGCATTTATAGAGACGATGCTAATAACTATGGGTGTAGTCCCAATCATTCTATTATTAAACTGCACCACAGCGATAGATCCCCGTCTTCCTCACCTCCTTCGTCTTACACCATAAGGTGATGCGTCCTCCGCTGGCCTGGCTCCACACACTTTCCATGTCCGTGTCGGCGTTGATCACGCTTTGCTCGCTCACCTCAGAGGTCAAACTAAATCAAACAGAGACATTTCATTTTGTATCTGAGCAGTACGACAATATAGCAGCAGTTCAAGATTTTTGTACCTCAAAGTGATCACAGCAGCAGGGAGACTCAGCCTTTTGCTGATTTTCTCGATCAGCGTCGCATAGGGAGACCCACGAGGTACCGACACAGCAAAGTTGAACGTGTAATGGACTTTGACAATGTACGAATTGTCGGTAGTTTGTGAATCCTGGCACGGGTTAAAGGACTCAGTTAAATCCCAGAACTCAAAAGAACAACATGTTGGTTCAGAGGGGAATATTAACTATGGACGGAAATGAAAAGACGCATACCTGACGCTGAGTGTTCCCCCTGTTGCTATCACTGGGAGCTTAAATAAAGAGAATGAGGAGAAGGCTTGTGTTCACATACAGTATTTTATTAGCTCATTTTATTAACTAATTCAAACTGTGTGTGAGTCTACCTGGATTCCTCGCTGGTCTGGTTGGTGCTTCTCGGCTCGGAGGTGCAGGTACTCTCTGTTTGTGGTTATTGAAATTCAAAATGCAGAAAAAATAAAGTAAGTGCAGCAGTTCATCGAGTGTCATTTTTAGAAACCTGAAGAGAAAGCTTAGAAATGTCAGGAAGACAACTTTCAATGTGTTTTGTTAAACTGATGTCATAAAAATCCTTCTTCACCTTGTTTTGTTTTGAAGCCAAGGAGATTTCCAAAGGTTCCAGGTAATTGTAAGGAACAAGTCCCCTCTAGAATCAACATCAAAACCACGTATAGTCTTGGTAAGTAGTGGATTCAAGGACACATGTTCACAAGTCTGCTGCAAAAAGAGTCTGCAGGTTCTGGTCTTACCCTTTCGTTGAAGACCACAGAGGCCCAGTTGTCGGCACCCTTCTGCAGCACAAACACTATGTTTCCCGGCACTACGGCCAACTCGTCGCTGGTCTCAGGAACAAATTCAAACAGCACCGTGTGGGGTTCTCCTTGCAACGCCCTACGGAGACAAGAGACATACATCAAGATACCTGGGACACAAATACACTACGGTAGTCACTGTTGGGTTTCTACTCTGATGTTCTAAAGCTACAGTAATCCAGCGTTTTCACAGATGTGGTTGATGCTTTTATCAACATCAAGAGCTGACTTTTAAGTTTACACATCCTGCATGCACAGAGGAAAATACTTCACAAAATTTTGCTAAGTAGGAAGATAATTTGAAGTCAAGTTTAGGAAAGAAAAAAAGCTCATATGTGCAGACAGTGGCAGATTTGCACAGCTTCAAAGTGACTGTTGTACCTCAGAACCTCGGGTTCTTTTGGACGAGCTGGACCGTCTTCAACCTGTCGGATGCAAATAAAAACACAAAGCATCTGATCAGTTGCTGACATGGTGCAGCACAGCAGTAATTTAAAATGAAATGAAGAGGTTTTGGCATGGCGAAGTGATTACATGATGACAGCACAGAGGATGTCATTTTCTAACATTTTCACTAATACAGGGAAATCATTTAGTTCCTGTTTTATTAATTTTCTGTTAAACACATTTTGCATATAAAACAGTATAAAGCTAACACACTGATGTCTTTATCCTCACACTGGTGTTGTTTTTTTAGAGCTCATCTGTTACCTGTGGCTGCAATGGGGCGAATCCAGAGAACGCATCTTGCGGCACAACGGAGGCGACGACCTGATGATGACACAGACACAAAACATAGGTTACTGGTGTGAAAAATAATTACAGCATTTTCCCCAAAATTATGTCAAGTTAAGAAATGATGAAATCACAAACTGAAGCTGTAATCAGGTTGAGTTTAACGAGCTTCATGATCACACTATAATCATCTGTTATTAGTAGGTAAAGCATCACCTTTGCTTTTCCCAGGTAGTCCTTCTTCTCCAGCTCAGCAACGTAGTTCTTGTTTGGCTTAAACAGCACTTTTGTTGGGAACTGGACTGGTTTGAAAAGCTTCTGTTTCTGTTGGCGAAACGTTTCATTGCACGTGTTATTTAAAGCATTTCTGACGTGAATGAAAATCAACAAGCCATGAGCTCTCCATCGAGTCTCCAGCAGCTTTAGAGCAGCACAGGGCCGATGCATGTTAACTCACACACTGATCTGGCTAAAATAGGTCCATCTACCCTGACTGAAATATAAATCAAACAAGCAGAATTCATCGTTGTGTCAAAGGGCTGCGTGTCAGTAACAGAGCAGACATCCTGACTGACCAGGGTTGACTGCAGAGCTTTGTCGATGATGTTGAGTTTGGCCTCTGTCTTGTAGTCGAGAGCCTTCGCGAGGTGTTCCTGAGCCTTGTCCCAGTTGCCCAGCTGAGCCTCAACCAGGGCCATGTTGTGGAGAACCTGTAGCGTTGATATTGTTTTAGAAACTATTTTACCCATTCAGAGCTTTAAGGTTCCTCATGCAGACAACAGAATTGAGAATAATGCATGAGAAGATTTTTAGACAGAGCTGTTTCGGATAAATCATCAAACTTTATAATCTTTACCTCACATGCATATAATATGTATCTGAGACCAAGCGCTTTGTAATCTATCAGATGGTTGCCCCTTAGTGCTTTGAAGGCTCTCTGGAAATCAGCTAAACTCTCCTCATACCTTTGGAAAGAAATAATCACATGAATTACTTTTGCACATGTTAAAAAAAAACCTACGAGTTAGGAATGACATTTTCTTTTTTTAAAAAACTAATTCATGAGTGAGAACGGTGGTAATTTTTATGGAAATGACTGGTGAGTCTTGCCTCTGCTTTCTGTAGAAGGTGATTCCTCTTTGAAAGAAGGCGATGGCCAAATGTTCGTCCTTCTGTATGCTGCAATCAAACGCCTGAGAAACATTAGAAAACACTGTAACTTCCTCTGAAAGAACTGAAAAAATGGTAATCTGGACTTCTTCTTTCACAGTGACTTGCACTTTTACATTCCATCTCATCAATGACACGTCGCCTGATGACTTTCTCTTTCTCGTGTGCAATATAAAAACAAACACGGTTGATATTTGTGAATGTGTGCATGCAGATTGCCGTGCAGGTTAGACATACCTTTTCAGCTGCATCAAAGTCTTGGTTAAGAAGATGGAGACAGCCAATGTCAAAACAGATTTTGGAGTTTTTTTCTTGGATGGACAAGAAAATCCTGAGTGCCTCTGACAGATCCTCTCTGTCGGCGCAGGTTATAGCCTCGTCCCACTGACGCAGAGTGTCCAGAAAAGACATACTTGCTGGTTAGGAGCACACTGAGCTACAGAGCAAATAAAGGAAGCTCATCTGATTTGTACCAGTGAGATCAGGAAGTGTGATGACAGCCATTATTGGTACATAAATATGCATATGGCCACTCCCCCGGCAGGCCTTAAGGCTCAGTGATTCTTGTTTTCGTTTCCCATTCAGCGCTCTGGTATCTGCCAGTAAGAAGTTTAAATCAAACTAATCTAATTTTGGCATACTTTCCCAACATGTTCTTCATTTTAACATAAAGTCATAACATAATTCATTTGGTGCTCTATCTGTTCCTCAAAGCAATAGATTTAATCATTTTGGTGTCTTTTCTTCCGCAGTTTATAATTAATCAGTTATATTAAAAAATAAAAAAAAAAAAGAAGTAGAACATTACCCATCAATACTTTTATTTTGCACTTTTATTCACCCATTTTTATTTTTTCTATTTCATGGTGTGCTCATTATTTTGTACATTTTTATTCTTCTTATCTTTTTACACAGCTTTACAAAAGAACAGAAATACTTTATTAGTGGTCACTACAGCACAAAGATGAAGTTAGCACCACCATAAATACTGATAAATGAGCAAAAATAAACAATAAGAAATATAAAATGTACAATACGTGTAATATGTCAAGTATAAAAGTCATGTGTGAAGTGTAGTGCAAATAAAAAAATCAGTCTATACATTTTAATTATCTGTAAAATTAATGTGCACTTTATTTAAATTGTTGGTACAGTATTTTTGTATTTATTTGATTTAATGAATTCAGTTTTACTCAGCGGTATTCATGTTTTACATGTTCTTTTTTGTATATATATCTTTTACCTTATCTGACTGTGAAGCTCTTTAAATAACCTCTGTGTATATTTGCTTACTTCCTCTTCTTCTTCTTGATATTATTACTGATATTATTTTGTTATTATTACGAACATTATTAAAACTATTACTACTTCCGCTGCTTCTTATTTTCATAGTTAGATTTATTTTTATTACTATATATGTTATTTCTTTTGCTTAACAGCAACAGTGACAAATTTTATAACAAAAAACTACAACTTCTGGAACAAACTTGTAAAAAGAAAAATAAATTCTAATGAGTTTCATCGTCATTCAAGATAAATAGTGCTCTTATTTTCCAACAGAATATCCGTGTTTCCGGTAGTACGGCTGACTTGACGCAGCGTCGCTAAACAAACATGGCTCTGCTACATTATCACCCAACGGACCTTTATGATACGTAGGCAGGCGAAAAGGGAAATATGCAACGATTGATTAGAAGCATGTCATGTATAATGTGAGCCTGTGCACGGAGAGACGCTGTGCGGTTTAGCTGGTTAGCTTAGTGTAGCCTTTTGTGACCGTGTTTACACATAGCTAGCTGTCCAAGTTGGCTAATGTAAGCTAGCAAGATGGACCTTGGAACAATGTTGTACAACAATTTAAAAGATGTTACCTGGAGTACGACGTCTTTACCTTTAGATCAACTTGTCAGCGCGTATAAGTTGCCTCAAATTGTCAAGCTGGATAACGGTTAGTAACTTTTTTTTAACTACACTGTAAGTTTTCGAGCTTGTGCTGTTGCTAGCTTGCTAGCTAGCAGCAAAGGTAAACTAAGCTGTTTGTCAGACAGTTTTCTCTGCCTGATTTTTGTCACTTAATCTTATTATTTTCCACTAAAACTGTGTGTTTTGCATGACTAAGTGGACACTTTCCAGTTGTGACAGCGAAAAGTCGCTTCTGTGCAGCAAAGCCTTTGCATCTGTCGAGCAAATCCCTCCAAATAACGCCAAGTTAACTTTTTTTCTACTTCATTAATCTGGTGTAAAGTCTCTGCTGTCACTCTGTTAGCCATCAACACAACACAACAACAAGGTACTGAATGTTAGAAACACCCTGCAGTGCACAGAAAGCTGTTGAGTTGTGCAACACAGTGACTAACTGTTTGGAAATGTGTGCATGTTATTGCAAATGCATATGTATTGCACATCACTTCAAACAAGGGAGGAAAAAAAAGCAGAGCTACCTACAAGTTATAAATGCAACAGGAAGGATGATGAGCTGCAGTTCACTAAATTCAGTCAAGATGGAAAAATCATCCTTGGTCTCTTTGGTGGTTCTGTGACATATGTGTAAGCTAAACAGTACGAGATAATAGAGTGAAGCACTATGATGATGGACCTCCAACTAAATTACAGGTTACTATAACGACTTTATCTGTACAACTGTTTATTCCCACAGTTGTGTCCAAACATGTTAATTGTAGCATGAAGCTATTATAGTCCATCCATCCATTATCTATACACCTTAAGCCTCACTAGGGTCGTGGGGGGGCTGGAGTCTATCCCAGCTGACTTGGACAGATCGCCAGACAGACAACCAAGCACACTCACATTCACACCTGCAGACAATTTAGAATCACCAATTAACCTCAACATGTTTCTGGACTGTGGGAGGAAGCCGAAGAACCCGAAAAGAACCCACGCTTCACGGGGAGAACATGCAAACTCCACGCAGAAGGATCCTGGGTGTCCTCACCGGGATGCGAACTTCTTGCTGCGAGGCAGCGGTGCTAACCACCGCTCCACCTTGCAGCCCCAGTGAAATAGATGTTTAAACAAAAACAATAAGAGATAATAGAGTGAAGCAATGTGATGATAGACCTCGAACTAAATTGCAGGTTACTATAACGACTTTATCTGTACAACTGTTTATTCCCACAGTTGTGTCCAAACATAACGTTAATTGTGGCATGAAGCTATTATAGTATCAGCAGTAATTTTAATTTTGTTCTCTGGAGGCTCATAACTTCTCCCACAGCTCTGAGCCTCTTTTGCAGAATCATGCCGGTGTGTAGCACTTTCAAGGATAGTGCATGCTTTTTTAGAGAGGTATGGATTAGGCCATTAGTCATTGTCCATGGAGGCCAGTGGCTTGAGTGTGCTCAGTAATCCAATACCCCGGCTTGTGTGGAGTGTCCTGTAAATCTCTGAAGTGGTGTAAAAATGGAAACAGCCGCCACCGTGTTCCTCGCAATGTTATTTAATTGTTTTGGCCGATTCTCTGTGGATATTGTGGTTCCTTATAGTGCTGTCATTCAAAACATCACTTTATATCTAATCAGGCTGAAATAACAACAAAATGCCAAAACGTGATTTCAAGCTTCATAAAATGTGTCTAAGATATCACTTTGTTGTCTCACAGTTAGGTCCAAACTGTGACTGTGCAGAAGATGCCATGTTCTTTCTTGTAAATAGTGATTTTCTATTATTGTCACTCCTGCAGGTCAGTTGGTTGAAGGGCTCAGAGACAACGACTACCTCTTGATTCATTCCTGCCGTCAGTGGACGACGATTACCGCTCACAGTCTGGAGGAGGGACACTACGTCATTGGGCCCAAAATAGAGATCCCAGTTCACTATGAAGGTGAGATGCAGACACAGAGATGCTCACTTAGCTTGTCTGATGCCTGTTTGTCTAGCGTCGTTTTCATGACAGTTTTTACTTGTAAAACTTTCCTCTCACGGCTGCTGAGAAGTTACTATTGACAGAGCACACTCTAATTTCAGGGGACTTTGTAAAACTAATTACTTCTTGTCAAAATAAAGAATACTTTCTGGAGGCACAGCAAACCGTGGAACTCTGACAATGCAGTGCGGGATGTGGACTGCTGATATTTGTCACTGTGATCCAGTTAAGGGCTGGCTTGCGCTTAATAATCACACTGATGTCTCCACTTACTTTAGGTCAGTTTAAGCTGCTGGAGCAGGACAGGGATGTCAAGGAGCCTGTGCAGTACTTCAACAGTGTGGAGGAGGTGGCCAAAGCATTCCCCGAAAGGGTGTACGTCATGGAAGAAATCACCTTCAACGTTAAGGTACGTTTAATCTGTTGAAGGGGTTTTTCTGATTGGTTGTTTGCTTTATAAGGATGTGTTTTTTTCTGGCTATCGATGCCACTCATGTGATGTTAGTAACCCTGTCTGACATCAGGGATATTCCATGAATGTAGACGGTCATTTAAAGCTTGAAATCTTCCATGAAAAAGGGGTTTATTTTCAGAAAACTCTTCCATTTAAATTTGTACTTTCACTCTATTTTTGTCAGGCCTAACTGGCTTAACAGTCTTCTGCAGACGTAGAAAGTAAAGCAAATGATTCTGCACATGTTTGTGTGTTTACTCCCAGGGTTTTAATTTTTCTTTTCAGATAAATCCCACTGTGGAAAATTCAGTACTTAGGCTGTTTGTCATTTTTTCCATAGATGGCTTCAGGGGAATGCAACGAAGACACAGAAGTTTACAACATAACACTAAGCACTGGCGATGAACTGACATTAATGGGCCAGGCTGAGATCCTCTATGCCAAGAGCTCCAAAGAAAAATCAAGATTCAACACCCTGTTTAAGAAGATCGGCAAGCTGAACTCCATCAGCAAGATCGGTCGGGGAAAGATGCCCTGCTTGATCTGCATGAACCACCGCACCAACGAGAGCATCAGCCTGCCTTTCCAGTGCAAAGGCAGGTTCAGCACCTGCAGTCCGCTGGAGCTTCAGATGCAGGACGGCGAGCACACCATCAGGAACATCGTGGAGAAAACCCGTCTCCCTGTCAACGTCACGGTACCCAGCAGCCCGCCCCGCAACCAGCACGACCTCCACCTCATCCGAGAGGGTCACCGCTACAAGCTGGTCAACATTCAGACGAAGACGGTGGTCGTGTGCTGCATTTTGCGAAGCAACAAAATCATCCCCGTCCATTTTCCTTTCCACATGGCCATGCCGAGATTTATTGTCCCAGAGGAGCTCCTGCAAGGAGAGCTGTGGCTGGACACTATGGTACATCGCTGGTTCTCCTTCTGCCAGGAACAGTTTGACATCGACGACTACTCCCGTGCCGTCCGGGACGTGCGGACAGACTGGAACGACGACGGCAAAAGTCCCAAGAAAACCAGTGGGAATGGCAGCTGCAGTGGGAGCAGCGGAGGCAGCGGCAGCTCTAACGGGTGTCCCAACCACATGCAGATTCCCACCTCCTTAACGTACGCTAGAGATGAACTCACCCAGTCCTTCCACCGGCTGTCCGTGTGCGTTTATGGCAGCAACCTGCACGGTAACAGTGAAGTCAACCTGCAGGGCTGCATGACGCTATGTGGAGACTGGGCTCTCCTGCCCTCTGATAGCAATCCCTCCGAATCTGGAGAAAACGAACACTTTTTCCCCGAGCTGGACAGCACAAACCAACAACCGCCTCTCAACAAGATGGACGTTCCCTACGAGGAGCTGTGGTTGGATCACTTGAGGGGTCAGATCCCCAAACCCTCCTCCAGTGAAGGAATCCGAGGCATCAACAATGGCTGTGCGACGACAGCTGCTCTGTCGTTCCCGGTCACTTGTCCTCTTGGTGCCATACCCAGTTCAGATGTGCCTCTTACTCCGCCGCCAGTCCCTCCCAAGTCTGAAGCTGTGAGTATAATCAACCACGCTTAAAGTTCTTCAACAGTGAACACTCCCATGTAGCTATTTTGTTTAAAAAAACAACTGTGGTGCCAAATGCTGCAGCCACACAAAACCACACACTTCTAATAAGGAATTCAGCCATTAACAATCGTAGCTATGATCCCATTTTCTGCTGTTCATGACGCAAGTGCCGTAATTTCCGGACTATTGAGGCACCTGAATATAGTCTGCACCCGCTAACTTTCAAAAGAAAACCAGTTTTGTACATATGCAGGCCGCACTTGTCTATAAGCTGCAGGTGTCCACGTTGGTACATGAGATATTTACACAGAAAGATGTTTTAAACTTCTAATTAAATACGTACCGTAACATACACAGATACATAAATGCTTTTTTCCGAACAGTGCCTGAAACACGGCTGGTTAAGAAAATAGAAAATACAGCAGCCTACCAGGAAAAGTCATTGATCGCTATCTTCATCTTCCTCCTGCACTAAAACCACTAAAGTCTTCAGTGTCGGAATTGAACAGCCTCAGAATTACTTCATCAGACACTTCCTCAGTCTCTCTTTTATTGTCGCTCTCAATGTCACTTTGGTCTCGAGGCAAATTTGTAAAACTTGTAACAATCTGTAAATTAGCCGCATCGTTGTTTAAGCTGCAGTGTTCAAAGCGTGTGAAAAAAGTAGCGGCTTATTGACCAGAATTTACGGTAGCTCTCCACACGACAGCCGTTACTTCACCTGCTGCTCTTGTTCCACTTCTCTTTTGCAACATCTGTAAACAAGCTGACAAAAAAAAAAAAAAGAAGCCAGAATCGACTGTCAGCTTGTTTTTCCTTTTCATTACATGGCAGCATAACAGTGGTGACAGCTAGATTGTGTTTTCTGTGGCTGCTTCACATTAAAGTCATCTTCTGGTTTGGCTGCTTTTAATGTGAAGCAGCTTTTTTTTGTGACTTTGAATTGCTTGTATTACGGTAGGCAGTCTGACTTCACCGAGAGAATGACGGACTCTGCCACTAAAGCTACTACATATACAGGCACGCAATAGCTACGTGTAAATTAGTAAAGTATAAAACCATGTAGCCTGGTTTCAGGATAGTGATCGTAAGCAGCGTCCAACACCTACACTTTTATGAAAAGTTAAAGATGTTAGTTTCTGCTGGCTGTTTCAAAGTCATTTTCATTGCAGGTGAAGGAAGAATGTCGACTGTTGAATGCCCCACCGATCCCTCCGCGTAGTCTGAAGCAAATGCCATCGGTGCCAATCCCGTCGAAGCCACGGCAGCAAGACACTCGGTCTCCAAGTCCGACCCTCTCCTATTATTCCTCTGGTCTCCACAACATGTAAGACGACCACACTTGAACTCAGCCCTCCTTCACCAACATTACTTTCTTTATCTGCATTTAAATCTAATGATGTATAACGTTTGCTCTCATACCACAAACTAATCTTTCTTTTTTCCATCAGTAGTGGACCGTGTGAGCAGGAAGGAGCTGACCCACAAGAGCAAAGCCACGTGTGCTACCCTTGCAGCTGGGGCAAATCCAACAGCACCGAACCAAACACTACTTCGCCCAGCGGCAGCCTGCTGTCGGACGGCGTGTCCTCCCGCTTGTCTTGGCCGAACAACTTCAGTGGAGGAGAGTCGCGCTGTATGGAGGAGTTTCTACCAGCCAGCTGTCGAAGCTACTACAGTTACCCCAGGAAGAGATCCCCGAGCACCCCGAAAACCTGCACGTCCAGCCTCGTTGACTTCGACGGCCGAGAACACGCGCACAGCAGCAAGGACTTCAGCTTGCAGAAAGCTTCCCTCAATCAGATCTGCACCAAATCGTCGAGTTACAACTCAGAAATGTACAGAGACAAGCCCATAGAAGAATCTAACACTAAGCAGAGCCTCTCCTGCCCCATCCTACCGCCGAGAACGCCAAAATCAAACGTCCTGAAGAAGTGCACAGACCTACTGTCGGAATCAGTCTGCGACAGTACGCAGGAACCTTTGAACAGTTCGCTTACTCCTCATGAGCAGGGCACAACAACGGAGATCTATTCCATCTCTAACTCCTTAACTCTGAACTGTCCACCCGTTCCTCCCGCTGCGCCGTGGCAGCCGCCGTCCAGCCTGGCCGGCCTTTCCATCGAAGAGGTGTCCAAATCTCTAAAGTTTATCGGCATGCCAGACGACATTGTTTCTCTTTTCGTGTCTGAGAAGATCGATGGGAATCTGCTCCTGCAGCTCACCGAGGAGATTCTGTCCGAGGACTTCAAGCTAAGCAAACTGCAGGTGAAGAAACTCATGCAGTTCATAAACGGGTGGAGACCCAAGATATAGCAGTATGTGACACTACAGCGGAGAAAGTCATGCCTTCAGTATATATGCTATGCACATCAAGCCACAAAGACGGTCGTTGTTTTTTTTTTAATTGTTTTTTTTAATATGAACTTTTTTTTGTCCTTGTTACTACATTTGGGGAGGGGAGTTGGGTCGTACTTCCCACTTAAAGTCTGCTATCTGCTAACTGAATGGAATCTTTTAGCACTTTCACTGAGACGTTTTCATGTCGGCTACTTTTTCATTGAACCGGTATCCATGTCATTACACACATCACAAGTTTAAACCAGCAAAAGGGAAAGGAAGGATGTTCAGAACATGAGGATGCGTTCAGATCTGCCTGAAGAGAACGTCGTCCGTCCAAAAAAGGGGGATCCCACAAACATCACGGGATTTTTAAAAGAGCACAAACTAGAACATGTTTGGCTGTTGCTTATTTAATGTTTAAAACGCAGTGAACACAGTTTACAGCTGAATCTGGTAGCAGAACAAATTATAATCAGTAAAACAATCAGTGACAAGCTTGCTGTCCTGGGATGGACCCGCTATTGTTGGTTTTTGTTTCGGTTTCATTCGTACATTTACGGTATTCTCAAGGTCAGGGATGCATGAAATGAAACACTAAGTTTTGTAGAATACTGGTGGATTCGGAGCAGTCGACTGCCAACAGCTGTTAAAGCAGAATTCAACCTGGAGTCCAGTTAATGTTGTGGCTCTTAGTGTGATGCTGATTCTGCACTCTGTTATAGAAATGGTGTTTAGCAAAGCCTGCAGCTTCCCAAAGAGCTCCGTCAGTGTGCATCGTTGAAAACTTGTCTTCAGTCGACCTGCAAGTAAACACAGAAAGTTAGCTGCTAGTTCCACGGCTGGATCACCATCATCTATGTGAACACGGAGATGTTTCAGCCATCAGCAGGTCCCGCTCTCCGTAGCCACAGTTTCCCTCCTCAGTCGGCAGCAGAGCGGTGAGCGTCCTGCTGTCCGTCCACCTCCGGCTCCGTCCCCGTAGGACAAATCAGCCTCCCACATGTAAACCAATCAGCGCGCAGAGCGATGAGGGCAGCTGGCAGGCATCCCAGGATGGAGAGCACTAATGCAGTTAGCAAAATGTCCGTTCCAGGCGGTCAATTTTCTGTGTTTAGCTCCGGTCAGACTGAAAACAAGCATGTCAAACGTTTTCACCTCTGCTTGGAAAGCTGCAGGGAGCTAATGGTGGTGTTCTGTCCTCGTCGGTACAACCACAACAGCCACATTAATTAAAGTGTTCCAGGTTAAAACAAGCCACGTGTTCTTTTAACAATCAACACTAAAGCTCGGCCTCGTGCACTAAACATGTTTTACAATCCCAAATGGCAGAAACAGTAAACGAACCTCCTCCTTGAGCATATCCAGCCGATGACAGGACAGAGGAGCTGTGACATCAGTGAACCTGATTTGATTTTCTAGATTTAAATTAAACGGAATGTAATGAGGGATACAACCAACAACAATCTGGATGAGTAGCTTTCTGTACATCGATGTGATACGAGGTGAAAGACTGTTGGTTTACCGTCACGTTGAACCAACAACGCTTCGTTAGCCATCAGATTTTGGCAAAGTGATCTAACTATGCTAACACCAGTGAGCCACATCGGCCTCCTACGAGATGTAACAACGACCCCGTCTTTATGCAACGAGCTTTTCTTTGATGCCTTTTTTTTAAAAATCTAAAGTTGAATTCTTCTAATCTAACTTGAAGTAGCTGAAGATGACCGACTCGAGGCCTAACAAAGCGACTCTAACATGGAAATAACACACAGAGGTAACGGACCATGACGTTCGACATTTAATACAAATTACGCATCATGCACTTTGGTATATTTCCGTTTAAGATAATTGCAGTTAAGGTCATTAAATATAATCCTATAAAAGAGTGAATGCACTACATGTTTTACAGACGGTACTTCTCCTATTTTTTTTTTCACCCCCCTTATTGTCTGTATATTAAGTGTCCTCTAATGCAAGAAGTAATAGTTTATCTGCGCCTTAACCCAGAGACCTTAAAATGTTTGATATTTCACTCCGGCTCGACATTTTCGTTTTTGCTCGTCTTGAAAATATTCTCTTAAGGAATGACGTCGGGTTGAAAATGAAAATGATCGGCTGCGGTGAAGTATTTGTTTATATTGGTGACAAACATCTTGATTCAGAGTTGATTTATTTATGCAGTTATTTAACATAAATATGCAGAACAGCTATCCTCAGATTGTTTTGTATGGCTGATATATGAAGGTGCCTCTGCAGCAACAGCCTTTCTACGACCAGGGTCTGCTCTGCTGGCCAACAGCTGTTTTTTTTTTGTATTATTATTATTATTATTTTCCCCCTGACGCTTTTCGTAGTGGGGTGTTACATATTTTACTTGATATTTTTATTTTGTATGTAAGTGCAAATTTAATGTAATTTTTTTTTTTTTAAGAAAATGATTACTAATGTTGAGATTATTTTTTATGGAGAAAAATGTTCAAACTTTTTTTTTTTATTCTGTAAAATGTGTCGGGGGGTCTACTTAGGTTTACGAATCCATGCATTAAAATAAAACTCGGTCACAGGAAGAAGAAGAAAAGCTTCAGTCACACTACACAGACAGTGACCAAAAAAAAACAACGATGTTAATAAGCCATGTGTCTGGATGATTTTTTTTTTTTTACAGATTTCCTTCTAACTTCGTCGCAGTATCCATGTTGTAACGGGGAACGGCCTCTGCCCCCTTTATATGTCCGTTAACGTCTTATGCAATAGGAACAACGGAGCAGTGGAGTTTAAAATATATATATGATGTGTGTTAAAATCGCCGCAGTGTTAATTTCTTGCCAAAGGAATTCTTCCAAGTCGATCGTTTTACTTGAATAATTCTGAGATACGAACTGTGAACACACAACTGGTCCACCTTCGTCCAGCAGGATGTTCTGTGTTGATGACACTGAGGCCTACGTAATTCTTGCCCTTTTTTTGCAAAAAACAAAACAAAGAAGAGGTTAAAGACTGTGACACTGGGTTTGACAGCATTACTGAAATCTTGAGTTATGAACAGTTATCTTTCAATTTAACTCCTTTCCCTATTTTTGATTGTATAATCTATTAAAAATGGATTAACTGGTGTTTGTGTTTTTTTTTCTTCTCTCATGTAACAGAACTGTTCACACGGTGTTTAGTTTCATTACTGATCATCGTCTCAGCGCTCGGATGATCAAAGTGATCCGCAAAACGCAAGAGGTGATGGAGTCAGAGCTTGTTAAAGTCAGTCTTCTACACTATTTGTGATTTATGTTGTTTAACTGTAAAAACGAGCACAAACACACAATTTCAAATAGATGTAAGATCAAACAGACTAAACTAGTCCATGCATTTGTCACTTCTAGGCTGGACTATTGTAATTCCTTATTATCAGGATGTCCCAATAACTCACTGAAAAACCTTCAGCTGATCCAGAATGCTGCAGCCAGCATTCTGACAAGAACCAGTAAGAGAGATCATATTTCATCTGTGTTGGCTTCTCTTCATCTTCTCTTCTTATTGTACCAAATCATCCTAACAGAGCCCTTCGCTCTCAGACTGCAAGTTCCACCCGCCCACCCTCTCTGCTTTTAAGATTATGCTTAAAACTTTCCTCTTTGATAAAGCTGATAGTTAGAGCTGCTCAGGTCACCTGACCTGTCCCCAAGTGATGCTGCTATAGCTTTAGACTGCTGGGGGATTCCCATGATGCACTGCTCTCCTCTCCTC